ACTGAGAACAGGGCACCCCTGCCCTGCCTGGTTCTGGTGACTGCACGCAAGCCTCGCCAGTGCCCGCGCATACAAAGGGACTTCACTAAGTTGGTGGGAAATGGAACTGAAGTATGAATTTATTGGGGCCCAGAAGTGGTGTAGTGGTTGAGGCACTGGATTTAGACATGGGCTGAACACAGTTTGAGTCCCAGACTTGGTGGCTTAAAATCCATGCTGGGTGTGTGTGTGCGTGCCCAAAATCCCAGGAGGGGAATGTTAGAGAAGGGATTGTGGCATGGCCATACCCCTGGGAGATTATTTCTCACTTTCCCACTCACTGTTTCTTTCTGGTGAGCACATGCGCCCAATGGGAAAAATCTATTTTTTAAAAAAGTATGAATCGGCAGGTGGCATTGTGATTGGGAGCACTGGGCTCCCACATGGCCAACCACAGTTTGAGTCCTGGACTTGGTGGCTTGCTTTCTCACTTTCCCTCTCTCTCTCTCACTCTGTCCCTCTCTGGTCAAATTTAAATAAATAAATAAAGTTAAATAAAATAATTCTTTTTAAAAAGTATGCATTTATTTTGGTGAAAAGCCTTTTTTTCACAATGTGCATTTTCTATCACTTTTTTTGAGACTTTTTTGTTGTTGTTGTAGTAGGGCACATGCACTCGCTGGAGAGACAGAGACACAGACAGAAAGCAAGAAATCGCCCCCCGAGGGGATGGCCATGCTGTAATCCCTTCTCCATTCTCCTCTCAGGATTTTGGGCATGCACACACATGCCCCCAGTATGAGTTTAAGCCATCGGGTCCGGGACTCGAACCACAGTCGACTACATGGGAGTCCAGTGACATAACCCTCACACCATCTACTGGTCCCACTTTTTGAAGACCCTTTGTAGTTTTGTTCCAGTCAGGTAAGCACCAACACCCACAATCCTGGTCCTAATCTTCCAAGCATACCTGGCCCTGTCTCATGAGACACGCAGCTCCCTGTCTGCTTCTTCGGGAGCCCCTGCCAGACCGGCCAAGGCCAGTCACTGACCTCCCCTCTCACCTACCTCCCTTGATGCCACTCCTGCTTTATTTTGTTGGCTCCACGCCTCTGTTTCCCATCCTACCCGACAGCCCACACGCATGTCCCATTGACCTTTCCTGGGGTCCAGCTCCCACATTGGACCCTGAGCACCCGGACTTAGGGGGACAACCACGGCAGCAGTTGAGGAGTTGGCTGCCAAAGGGGCAGGAGGCCCTTGGGGGACAGCAGCCTCTCCTCCCAGCCGAACTTGCGTGGGTTCCCTCCAGCCCCAACACCACCAGCGCACGGCTGCCGTCATAGAGGATGGAAAGGAAGCCCGACAGCCCGGCCTCTGCGGCCCGCACTCCGGGAGCCACAGTGCGCCAGTCTCTGCCCCCTCCAACCCTCACGTGCTCCCCATCACACCCTCACTCCGAGGCCTCCCCCGCCTGACCTCACCTGGGCCTCTGCCCCAGCTCTGGTGGCTCATGAAGAACAGCGATTCAGGGACCCAATGCAACCTTTAATTCCAAGCAGAGTCCCCTTCCCCAGCATTGTCACACACACACGGAAAGGGGTGCCAGAGTCTAGGCAGGAACAAAACCCAGATGGGGCAAAAAAATATATATAATTATATACACGTGTGTTTGGAGACGGAAAGCTGGAGTGTGAGGAAGGTGGGAGTTGGTGAGGAGAGCAGCTGGGGTGCCCCAATAAATTACATTCTTTAGAGAGTGTAGTGGGGGTGCGCGGGGTGGGTGGGACCTGGGAGCCAGGCACTCAGAAGTGCCCCAGCCTGGCCTCGGGATCCCCCAAGGGAGGCTGTAGGCCTGGGCCCTGCCGGCTTCCCAGGCTGCCCTGGAAGGCAGATGCTGCCTTAGCCTGGAGGCCGGGGTGAGCCCGGGCTGTGGACACGCCGCACCCGCTCTGAACCAAGGCTTCCGGGAGCCTCGGGGGCTGAAGCAGGAGGCTTCAAAGCTTGGAGTCGCAAGTAAAGATGGCAAGCTGGAGGGCAGGGCCCCGCCTCCCCCTGGGCCAGCTGCCCTGCCACTGGGAGAAGCGGCCTAGCTGAGGGAGGCCG